TCCTGAATTGGGGATGAGCAAGCCATGAGATACGGGGTCTCCAGTTTGCACAAGGTACTCTCTTAATATTTTGAATGAAGAACTGCAGAAGCAGAATCAAAGCTCTAGAGACCTTAATGGTGGGGTGACGTCGTGGAACAAGGAGATCAGAACTGCCTGGGCCAGACTAGTGTTAGCAGCGTGATGGTGCTGCCTAAAGCTTTATCTTGTGCAGCTTTCCCAAGAGAGAGGACAACTTGGAGAAAAAGGTATGAGCTTTCCTGATGAGAGGAATTGAAAGACATCTTATAGCAAGCCTGGACAAAAAAAAAAGTCATCTCTGTGGTAGAGAGGTAAACCTGAGATCAGTCCATGGAAAGGGCACCGAGGATGTAGTATTCCTTCCATTGAAGTCTGCTTATTTTGAGGGGCTAGGCTTATTCACTAGAATATGCAGAGATGTTTTTTGTGAAATTTCTGGCTGTTTTGGAAATTGCTGATGCTTCGTGTGATGTACTGGTATCTGTTAGCAGTCTTAAGGAGTTTTAAACTTCTACTGGGGTTTATACAAAATCTGAGAAAGATACTTGGTCATCCTTTTATTCTCACAGTTTACATCTACATAGTTAAATTCTCCCTCCTCATCTTGACTGTTTGTGCATTGCATGTGGACCACGCTATCTCCCATATCATGTCAGGGTGAAACTGGCTGCTGGCTTATTCCAGTCCCATGCCAGGAGTGGCCTAAAAATTAACCAATATGGACAGTGTGTCAGTTCTCTGGCTCTGTTTCGTACTAACAGTCTCAGTTTCTCAGAGCCTGTTTGGATTCCACCATTATAAAACAGCCATCTGATGCAGGAACTTTGTCAGGCCCCCACTTTTTACATTTAGTTTTAATGTTTCACTCACAGTACTTGTTTAGGAGTTGCCATAGCTTCATGAATCAGTCCTGGGTTGTCTTCAGATTTCCTTAACAACAGTATTTCAGACATAGTTTTGATGGATCTGCATTTGAATGTGTCAGTTCTTTTTTAGACAGGAACACTTCTGGGGCTGGGCTGCTGTCTATAGGTTCATATATTTCAAAGGTACTTTCCAAAAGAGATGGCATATGTCAGGCACTTGGATAGCTCATTTAGTAGAACATGCCAAAACCAATTTTTGATGTCCTAATTAGTGAATATTTTGCTCTACATAAATTTGGTACATACTGCTTCAACCACTTAGTCCAGTAGTTCTGGACTAATGCAGAATTTCTGCTCTATCCACATTCAGAAAGACTGATTTTTGAGAGCTCTTCCACACTATTTCAGCAGCCTATACTCAATGCAGACTGCTGCAGAAGCTGAGGATGAAGTGGTAAGGCTGAAGCAAAGCTGGAAAGGAGTAAATCTGTTTTGGTAGCACACACTTTCATATCTTTTTCTTCCCTTCTTTTTTTCTATTCATTTTTCCTTTTCTTTTTAGGCAACACTTTTCCACCATTTTTTCCTTTAATTATTTTTTTTTCAGTATGAACACTTCTGTCAGCTTATAGTAATCAATGGAAACTATATGGCTGGTCAGCAAAAAAAGATGCATAGAAACCAAACTAAGCAGCACATCTGTGTTTAGCAAAGAACCTGACTAATAACCAGAAAGAAGATTGTAAGATCTAGCCATAGAGCATCACAGTTGTCATTCAAACAAGTGCTGCTTAGTATTTTCTTAGATATACAATGATATTATTTCCATGATTTTTTTTTAACAAGTAGGTAAATTACTACTTCTGCTTTAGAGATTTTAAAATGAGAACACTACAGATTCAGTGGGACTTCCTCCAGCTGGATTGTACCCCATGACAAGTCTCTGTTTGGTGTTGGTTCAGACAGTTTTCTTTAGCGGCCTCTTTAAATTTGAGTACTGCTATTCCCTCCATCTTTTTGAAACATGCAGACCTTTCCTTCCCCTGCATACTCTGGCTGTTGACCTCCTAAGCTTGAGGGACAATGGCTTTTTAAATGCTGTAGCATGCATACTATATGCATACGAGAGAGCATTTTTTCCTGTATAAGATGCTTTTTTCCTATAGTGAGAATATATCTCAGCCAATGTCGATCTGTTTCTCGTCTGCTAATGTAGATAAGATTGCTGGATGAGAGAGAGAAATTAAGTCACAAAAATGGATTTGCCACAGTGAACTGTGCAGTCAGGCCATATTCATATCAGAGACAGCATACATTACAAAGCAACACACAACCTTATGCAAAACACAGCCTTCCTCTTCCACAGGCAGGAATAGTACTTTGGTCTTAATCTTAAAAATGAGACACTAAAGACAGGATGCATAGGGTAATGATGGAAAAAGATGGTATTATTCAAGTGTCATTACACATTAGAGATAATAAAATAAAAATTGGATCCATGAGTAACTAGAAAGTATGCCTTGCTTCACCAGTGTCACAGACTAAATATTTTAGGATCGTAGCAGGTTCCCCTAAGTACTAGAATTTTGTTTTGTATTCAGATTATCCCACATGACCAAATCTTATAATCTCTTTCTTATTCATAACATGTGGGATAGACACGTACATCTGAACCAGTCATCCTCAATTCCCTTTATAGTCAGTCAAGCAGAATATATACTTTTAGGGTACACCTGACTTATTTGAAACATCTACATTGGAATGACATGAATTGCACCCTAGAAAGGCCTATTTCTACCCAGGGACTATAAAAGGAGACATGATGACTAGCATAGTTATAATTACCTGCATTATAAATGCATATTTGGTCACATGGATTCCCTTTTCCTAGGAATTTAGGAAAAAACCCAACCATATTTCTGTTAAGCTATGATTTAGCTATCTCTCAGGTAGAGTAGGTTTGTCTCATACACTGTATTTTTTCAATTCTTTTGAATCACTCAAACAAACGAGCCTTTTCTTTAATTTCAGAGTCTAACAACCTTGCATTAAGGTATATTCCTTATTTCTGATGTACAGAAATTTCTGATAGTAACCTTTCATTTGTTCTGTGTCATCCCAATAAGTTTAATCACTCTGTAGTACTTCCAAAGAGTTGCTTTAGTCTTAGTAATGAACAAAACATGCTCTCTTTCTCTTCTCTGCATTCTCTAAAGCAACCAACCAACCCCTGCCCCAGCATCAGAGGGTTAAGACTCAGGAACACATTACTGCATTTAGACCTAGTATTTTGTGTCAGCTGAGCTAGGGTAACTGTACCTCAGTGTCTGGCCTGACAAAAGACAAGATGGTGTAAATTTATACTGCTTTTATTGAGGGTTGAGCTCAGTGCAGTAACTCCTATCTGCCACAGCAATGTGTAGAAAATAACCACAGCTCAGTTAATGTAGCAGAACTTGTTAAACTATCATGTTGATCAACTCATTTTGATCATGAATCGATGCTCTAAGAAGAAATTCTCTTGAGAGAGAGGAATTATCCTCATGGGCTTGAGTATGTTGCTGCTTCAGGGTTTTTTTGCTACTGTCCTGCACTGATTGCTGAAATACCTATTTTGCTGTCTATTATTACTCAGGCTTGTTCAGCATACTGGATTTCACACTCCACTTCTCTCTGAAGATTGGTGTTCTGAATAGTTTTCCTCTAGAGGGGGATTAGCTTGCATTTTTCAAAACAAAATCCCATCTTTTAGGGTTACATTAACCCTTCTAATCCCCTTTATACTCTTTTTTGCTATGCAATTCTCCCTAATTCGTCAGCATCTTCTGAAAAAAAATGTTGCTTACTCCACTGTTACAGATTCTTAATGGATGTTAAATAAAACCAGATTTAATACCAAATAATATAGCACCTCTGCAACAATTAACTTTCTCCAAGTTCATATACTATAGTGACACCAACTGGCCTTTACTTATCTTAATTTGGTTTCATTCCAAAGAAATGTCAGATTCTGTCTCTCATAAATCATTCTTTTGAATATAGATATGAAAAATACTTTATTGACTATGTGAATCTACAGATATTTAAATCACCTTATGTTTATTATTTCTGCAATTTTATAAAACGTTGCTATATTCTTTGTTCTAAGAATTTGTAGGTTTTCTAATGACAAACATTTGGCATACGCAAACACTAAAGCTTCACTTCCCAACCTCTATTCTTCAGAAGGAAAGTAATTAGTATTTTTGTATAGAATCCTTTTTTTTTTCTTTTGAAGCATGGAGTAACATACACTCAGTGACATATGAATGCCTTTAGAAGAACAAAGATCTTTAAAGAAATTCAATCATTATTCACCTCAGGTAATAATAAATTGTGATGGATGGTCATCTTGAACCATTGAAGAAAATTTGTTTGACTAAAATATTAAAAGCTATGAAATTACTTATCACTGTCAAATTATTAAGACTTCTTCTGTTGCTATTGCTTCCTTACAGATAAGTCTTGACTCTCCCCTTCCAGTGGTGTATATTCAAGCTTACTGTGTCAGACTGGTCAGAAAAACTAAGTTGCTAGAAGCTATTTTTTTAAAACAGAGAAAAATATACTATGGATCTTTGTTGTCAAGAAAGAAACAAAACAACTGTTGTACAATACTTTTACAATGAAGGAAAAGGAGGCAAAAGGGCTTGTCAAAACCAGTAACCTTGTAAAGGGCTAATAGATTGCTCTGATTTTGATCTACCTTAATGAGTCAATATATACAATTATATCTAAAGCTTGCAGCACTGCTTTGGGACTATAAGAGTTTGCTGCAGACACCATACAAACTATTATGGGGTGAAAGGTCTGGAACTGCTCTAGTTTTACCCTTATACAGATGTGGGACCATTGACACTCAAAAACCAAAAAGGAATGTACAAAACAAACTGTTAGATTTTGCCTAGGATACTTAACTGCAGACACACTTTTGCAGAACCAATGGTGTTACCTCCCGCAACATGGAAATTAATTTCCAATCTAGCACACAAGGATGTAGTGAGTATATCTATGTCTTATGGTTTAGAACCTTTTACACACATTTTCGTAATTGTACAGACTTTCCAAACTTACCTCCTCTATGGATAATCAAAGAAGTTTCACTTCCAACAGGACATTCTTTAAGTATATCCACTACTTCTGCATGGCTCAGGTTCTGTACATTCTGCTGGTTGATCTCAACAATGAGGTCACCTTCACACAAACCAGGACATCCCTGAATGTCTAGAATTTGCTTCACCCTCTGTCCTGTAGGACTGTCTGCTATAGTGAAGCCAAAGCCCTGGGCCCCTTTCACAATGGTTAAGGTCATGAGTTCAGCTTGGGTGGCCCCAGAAGAAGCCATTGATACATTATCATCATGGGCAGGTGGTGGGAATGTGCTATCAAGCTGACTATCTGCTGGAATGGAGTGCAAGGAGTGTGGTGGTCGATCTGTTACGTCTGGAACAGACTGAGAAGTCCTAGAAATGTATTCCAAATAAGTTTCATAGTTATGTCTTCCATTTACCACTACCGGAGGCCTCTCCATTACTGCAAGGGGTGGCACCATGCTGTTGGCAGGATCTTCAGGATCAAAGGGCAAAGGGTATCCACGACATAGCACCAAGTTGACACTCTGACCAATAGGAACAGACTGGAAGAGTTTGACTACATCTGCGTGAGTATGTCCAAGGACACAAACTTCATTAATATAGACAATGACATCACCTAGAAAGAGAAGAAAAAATAGTGACAACATGAGACAACTTCAGTTACTGTATATGCAGTGCAATTTTTTTTTTTTATGAGATAGAACTCTATTAAAAAATAAAAGAAATTAGCTCAACATACTGACTCAAATAGTGGAGACAAAAAAGTAAAATTTGTGTCAGCAAATGTAATACAAATAGACAATGAAAGTACTATTGCTTTTCTGTGGAAGCTCACAGCTGGAGAATTAAGCTGGATCCAGACATACACCTTTTCTTAACATCTCTTCCCTATTTTTTCGACTCCTTTCAGTGTAGTCCACACATTACTTTTTTACAAGATACAATCAAAGTTTATGTGGAGGGTTGGTTGTCAAGAAATACCATTGTTTGGTGAAGAGTAAAAGGAAAAAAAAAGGAAATAGTAGGCACTCGTGGACTTAAGAATCAATGAATAGGGATGCAAGACTCTGCATGCATGAGCATAAGGAAATACTTTTTGCATTGATCATGATATTGACAGTTTCCTATTAAATGTCATTACTTGCCATCAGACATCCAGGACTACTACAGTCATTTCCTATTCTAGGCATGAATTAAACTGTACCTTGCATATCGTAGACGTATTTAGTGGCATTTTGTTGTAGCCATGACGGTTCAAGGGCAATGACAAGACAAATTTTGTAGATGGGTATGATAGCTTTTTATTAGAAAAATCTAGACAAATGTCTGAAAATCAGCTTAATATTTCCAGCTAAACCAGCTGGTCAAATAAAAATAAAGATACTACCTTTACCTCCAAATCTTGTCTCATGTATAGTACAGAGCTCAGTACAGTCAGAGAATATATGAAAGCAGAATACTTTAAGTCAGCTGGCTATTTATGGGTCTCCATATTGCTCATGCACCAACCAGCTTCTGTTACTGAAAAGTTCAGAAATAAGTTCAAGTTCCTTCTTGTTGTTAGAATGGATCTATATATTTATAGCCATAAATAATTTTTTTATGGTACTGTTAAGGTGCATATTAAAATAAAAATGAGTAATCAGTACAAACAATATTCAGAACAGTTTGATGACCCACAGTCAGTTTCCACTTTATAAAACAGTTTGCATCTTTATACTAAAGGAGAAGGATGTTTGGTTAGACAACCCCACAAGTTAAAGTATTTTTCTAAGTGAAGATTATCTTATTATCCTACCATTAAATAGGAACAAGAAATCATTTATACAGACAACACTGTGAGGTGTCTACAAGTTCAATAATTGACCTATCATAATGTAATGTTTTTTAATGGCATTTGAAAATTCAGCAATAAAATGAGAATGATTTAGGGAGGATGAGGTGGTTTGTGTGGAATTGCTTCAAGTGTATTTATGAAATTATGTCTTCCTTGTACTTCAATCAAAAGATCTAATCAAGCAAACTGAGGAAAAAAGAGCATCATCAATATGCCAGTACAAGGGCTGTTTCTATGTGACAATGAAAGGCAAAGGCTGTTTCTATGTGAAAATGAAATGGTCAATTCCTACACGATCAGCCTGTCTAACAGCCTGACAGTAATTAATTGCATATGCACAAATTGTGATTCAGAGAAAGATTTCTTCAGAGGGTGCCTAGGGAAAAAATGCTAAGGGAGTTCGTTTAAATATTTGTGAATATTATTCACAGAAACCTTAGGAGCTGCAAATACTGTCTTAAATGAGCATCACAAATAGATTTCGAACTATAAGAAAAAGCAGTAAGGTCACTTTATAGGCAGTGCTGAAAGAACTCCAATGCTTGTGTCTCAAGCAGCTGAGAGTAAAACAGTTTTCAAAAGTCAAGCTTTAAAAGAGAGAAAGAATGTACTGCACTAAATTATTGTGGCAATGGCTGCAATTAATTGTGATTTCCTCATGCCCTGATATAGAAAGATCTTACCTGCATTCTCATCCCTGGCTTCCGCATTAGCAGTGAGGCTGACATTGCTCATAATAGGACTGATACTGTTGAACTGAGACCTCTTCAACGCATGCTCCTGTTTCAGTAGCTTATGCCTTAATAGTACCCTTGCAACTTTTTAATCCATGCAGTCTTTATTTCCCTGAGTGCTGGCAATGCAGATATGTGGTGGGAGGAGACCAATCTGTTTGTTCATCCTCTCTTGCAATACTTAAGCAGGGTGCAAAAGGAATAATGCATTTATTGTGTTGGGCAAGTAAATCATTGTCTGTTTTCACCCCTTCACTTTATGCATTTGTACAGGATCAGCTATGACATAAAGCTTAAAACAATATGTTTTTGATAAATCAGAAAAATCAGATAAACTAGTTGACATTACATAGGTCTCCAGGGAAAAGAAATTACCTTGTGCACAGGGAGTGCAGTCAGGAAATATATAGGCCAAGTAGCCCCTTTCCCCAATCATTAAATAGGCAAAACTGAGCATTAGAAGTTCTTGGGTAAGAGCTTCTTCAAATAACGACGCTGCATTATCCCTCACAAGACAGCAGAATATTCTTCAGCATTTCCTGAATCAACATTTTTAAAGGTCTTTGTGGTTTCTGAGGTATAACATGAATAGCATGTCTAGGCACACTCTGAAGTTGTAACTCACTCACAGTTGAACCGTTTGGGACCCATAATGCTGTGCTGTCATATGGAGAACATATGGCTGAAGGTTAAGAGGGATGGGGAAAAAGGCATGAGTTACTAAGTTCAACTCAGAGAAATAGCTACAGTGGTGTTAAACTGGGAAGAAACAGCGTTTCAGATCAGGGGACATGAAGGAGGAATAAAAGGGGTTAATTTCAGAAATCCTTCAAATAAATCTCTGGACTGTAGGAGTTTCTCCAAATCCAACTCATTTTCCAGGCTGAGAGTTCCTCATTGCTGACACAGAGAGAAGTACCCAGCATTTGGTAGGAAGGGAGAGATAAGTTAAGAGCATTACAGAGCCAGTGCCATGCTAATGCAAAGTTCAAAACCTCTCTACTTTAGGAAAACTCCCTGAAAGGTTCCTGTGGCACCTTTTCTGCCTGTTCTTTCCTGCTGCTTCTAATAATAATGGGTGCATATGGACAGGCATAATAGCGATCCCCTTTATAATTCCTGCCTGATTTTCTGAGCAAGCCATAGTCTGCCTCCAGAAATCACAGTTTCACAGTGAGTGGGTATCTTTGAAGTTATGCAGAACATTTATATTAAGCATCAAACTTTGCTTGGCTTTTAGAACGAAACCTACAAAAATGACTGGAGCTTACTTACAGAATCACAGAATGGTTGAGGTTGGAAGGGACCTCTGGAGGTCAGCTTGACCAACCCCCCTGCTCAAGCAGGGTCACCTAGAATCAGTTGCCCAGGACCGTGTCCAGGTGGCTTTTGAATATCTCCAAGGAGGGAGACTCCACAACCTCTCTGGGCAACCTGTGCCAGTGCTCAGTCACCCTCACAGTAAGAAAGTGTCTCCTGATGTTCAGACGGCACCTCCTGTGTTTCAGTTTGTGCCCATTGACTCTGGTCCTATCACTGGGCACCACTGGAAAGAGCCTGGCTCCATCTTCTTTGCACCTTCCCTTCAGGTATTTACATACATTGGTAAGATCCCCCTGACCCTTCTCTTCTCAAGGCTGAACATCTCTCTACTTCCACGTCCTCACTATTGGGTGCTCTCCCCAATTTCATCTTCCTCACTAGCCTCTACAAACTCTACACATGCCCTACCAGAAATTTATGAGCTTCAACATCCTCTAATGACAGATTCTTACTTACATTCTTCTCTACAATAATGTTGCAGACTTAAATCTGACACCCCGGGGATTTTCTGCAAGCATTAATTCTGCAAAAATACTTTTTTCACGCTTGAAGTGCTTGATCCAAACAGAATCTGTTTTATTGACATAACTCATTTCATTACAAATTAGCCTAAGGTTTCATGTAATGCTACCAGCTCTATTTCCCTCCTTTCTGAAGAACCTATATTATTCAGTGACTCCAGTTATTGTTTCTGCTATGTTTTTATTACCCCTAGAATGTCTGTATACACATCTTGCACTAGTAGGTAAAGTTCCTCCATTTTCTTACCCATGTTCCCACCATTTGTATACAAACACTTTGCTTATTTCTTATTATTATTGTTTCTTGTGCACTCGGTTTCCTGGCTGGAATTTCTTATGGTACCTCAGTGAACTGAATTGCCTGCTGGACTGCCCTTCTTCTTATTATTTAGAATTCTTTAAAATTCGAAGCCTGAATGCAGCGGAAAAAATGCAGATTAGATCTTTGTTGTTAATTTATGATCACATTCAAAGTTTAGTAGAAATGTCTCCATTGTTTCTGATGGGTTTTGGATCAAGCTCTTAGTGTCTGTGGTTCATGTGCTTAAAATATGACAGAACGCTGTGATTTGCTGGGGGGCAGGGACAGCTCTGCTACCGCCCTGCAGCCAGCACAAGCCAGTAGCAGTGGAGCTAAAAACAGCCCATGGTTTGGCAAGTCAGCACAGGAAGCACCAGCTCTGCAAGACTCAGGCTGCATTTTTTTTTTGCTGCATTTATAGCCCAGGTAAACTCTACTAACTTCTCCAGCATTACATATTCCCACTTGCATTTCTCAACAATATACTCTAAATTCTGCATATGCATACTTTGCACAAGCTTCAGAACTAGCAATACATTATTACTTTATTGTTGAAGCTTTCCCTTCACCTGCCCACCCACACTATCTACTGTAATTACCAGCTCTTTCTGTCACTTCTCAGCAGTGACCTTGTCTTCTCTTTCTGCAAAGTGCTGTAAGATTGCAGGCACTGTAGCCTATTAATAATAAATTCAGAGGTGTTAGCATGTTTTCAGTACTGAGATATGAAACATGGGGGTAATTTTAATAACAACGGCACGTGATTGATGGTCATGAAAGAGGCGAAGATTTGTTAGAAATGAGCCATTTTTACATGTGCATATACAGTTACTAGTAGCAGTACAGAGAACTAGTGCATGAGGGATCATTCAGTTAAACAGTAGCAGCCAAATTATATTC